AAATGAGAAGATCTTATTGTTTAGTGGAAGAATTTCTAAAAACTAAACAAACATATCAAAAACTAATGTTATTTCCTTAATGCGCGAAATGTTGAATAAATCCTCATGAATTTTTGCAACGTTTTAACCAATAAAAAAATCGCGTCAGACGTGTCCAGGGTTTACAGAATACGTATCTACAAAAAACATACTTACACGATTAGGATTAATATATCAGGTAAACTTTGAAATTTCTAGGAAATTGCACGTTCCGTTAATTTTTTTATGTAAAAATAAAACACCTGAATATTCTTAAACAGTTTCGAATTAAACAGAAGCTCGCGAACGCGATAAAAATGAAGTCACGTTGTGTGTGTCAATATATCTTTTATATTTTATCGCAGAAGAACTGTTGTCATGCAATAATATTTTCCGATGCGTTGTAACAACGTTAATATGTATCGTTTAAAAAACTGCGTACTCTAAATTTCATGCTTTTTTAGATCGAGGTTACTCCTCGTGTCGTTATGCAAGACTCGATATCGAATATCGCATCATCGTTACGTGATGCACGTTTGCGTTGTTGTAGCGATTTGTTAGCTTCGGTATTAGTCAAACGGTGCCGTCATTGAGAGAGGAACTATATTTGAAATATTGCTATTCGCCTGTCATCCTTGTATGCTAATGTTTTTGCAATAGCAGTCTTCATCCTCGCGCGTTTGTCGCGAGCGGCCACTGGCTGACAAAGACGATCGCGAACACAAACGAGTGGAAATGATTTCATAGAAAACAAAAGAGAGACGATATATATAATACATGTATACACATATCGTCGGCAAATCGCTATATATCGCTGCTTATGTCAGTTGGAAACTCAGCGCGCAATATATATACCTTTAACATATAATATATATCGTTTCTCTGTCTTTTCGAATTTGACTCGTGTCGATAGTTTTGTTTCGCGATGTGAAATATTTGAGATAAAAAACGCAATTATATACTCAACGGAAATATTCTATGAAGTGTGAGTTACATCTTTCAGTATTATTCAAAACGTTTGGAGCGATATCGCGATAATTATTAGACAAAAAAATTAAATTCAAAAAATTTGATTTTACACATATATTGTTGGAAAATGTTACATGACGAAAAAATATGGTTGTTTTGTTTTCTCGCGCAACAAAATGCGGTTACGTATTAATGTCAATCTCCCAAAGCTTCTCTCAATTAGCGGCATTACATGCGTTTCGCATATTTACTTTTTTCCAGCCACTTAATTATCTCCACTCCGGCAAATTAGTTTTCTTCCTGGTTAAGCATCTCTCTCTTTCTCTCTCTTTCTCTCGACTCTTTGTTAATAACGTAATCGCGCATAATAGATGCAAAGAATGCACTTGTCTCGGCGCGGGGATGAAAACAATTTTTTTTGCGACCGGTGCTCACAGCTCGCGTGCAACAAATGCTTACGGGCTTGTGGCTTTTGTGTACATTAACTAATGGCCGAGTCTGGCCGTTTGTTATCACGACAAATAGATTTCTCAGACATCCTCTCTCAGCGCATCGGCTAACGGCGCGCAAGATGCGCGCGGAATGTTTCTGTCAACTCCGGCGTCGATTTTTATTCGACCCTCAAGCACGACAGTTTGTATGAAAAAAAAAAAAAAAAAAAAAAAAAAATGATTATCACGATCGATGTGACAATTATTGACAAAGTTTGAGGAAACTTCGCTGATGACGTTTTCAGAAATAAAAAATTAGAAGATGCAAATACTGAAGAATGTAAGTACACAAACGCGCGGTAGAGAAATAAAGAAGCGACGATATACGCGCGGTCATAAAACAGGTAAACAATAATGTAATAATTATTGACGGAAAAAAACTCTCTTTACTCGTTTGTTTACTTATCTGGCAAAGTTCTTTATTGTATAATGAGATTGTATTGCGAAATTCAAAGATGCGAAAGACGTGTAGGTATACGATGTTGTGCACAAAGGCATTTGCCTACGCGTTGTTGTGCGAATTACTTTTTTGTCTCTTATCTTAAAAGTTCAGATTAAGAAAAAAAAATAAAATAAAATAAAAAACGCTTCAAAAAAGTAAAAAAGAAATCTGATGAGAACAATTTACGTATCGGGGACCCAAACGGAGAATTAGCTCCGACAGGCTAGCTAATAAATTGCAAAAATTCAGAAAGAAACACATGTTTACATGATATTTCATGTAATGCAAAAGTCAACTACTTCAAGCGCACAATGTAACACACAAGAAATGAGGGAAATGTGAACGAAGGCGCACTTTATATTACACGGAGGTAATTAAGCGCCGCGTTTCTTATCTCTGTACGTGCAATATCATGCGATTATTATATAAGTATTATATTTATTTTCCAAAAAGTATGCGTGACAGGTTGCAATTAATAGTAGACGTATGTATTCGTGGGAACAGAAACTTTATTAAAGTTCAGTTGCATCGAGACAGTAACAGGCCGCCGGCGTATGCTTACGAGGTAACTGTTTAAAAAATGGTCTTGCATCTCTATGTGTTGACATCGGTGACGCGATCACTTCGCGATCGTTTCCAGACGTGTCTCAATTATATTATATATATATATACACAGGTACTTATACATCGATACATGTACATACATACATACAGGAGAGGGTAGACCGAAGGGGAGTTGAATTACTCGGTACTCGGGTTTGTACAGAATATATATATGTATGTCTTCCGTATATTTTACCGTCTCTACACCAACGTGGGTTATTACAGTGGGGAGGATTCGCTATTGTTAGACCTTAAACGAGACTTTTATATTACACTTTGAACAAGCGGAGATCGCAATCAGTCCTGACATAATTCTCCGCGTACATCAGTTTTTCTACGCACCGCCGTTTCCGGCACAACCATGGCTGCTTGCGCCAAACCGTCCTATTTACAAGAAAATCCCTAAATTTGTCGATAGAATCTTTAGCTTCATTACGAGCCGTTGATCTTGAAAATGGAGCAGCTTGATTTTAAAGAGACATGGCGCTTGAAAACTTTTATTTTGCAAATATTTTTAAATTCTTTAAGTAAACAAAACACAATGTCTGTTATATACATTTTATAATAGACATAAATAAATATTCGAGACATCTAGAGACAGAATATATTTAACATAATAATAAACAAATAAGACTTCCACTGTCCTTTGAATAAATTGCTCCTATTAATTATTTATTACACATTTAATTCTAAAAAATAAAAATGCCATAAGCTGAAGAGAGATTCTACCGTCAAATTTTAGTCTATACATACGATCTTCCTTAACCATCTACCTGTATAATACACGTTTAAGTTTTTGCGCGTAGCCGGAGCTTGCGTTCGAATTGCCGAAACGATATATTCCACGCTCTTGTGCGAAAAGTCGCTCGTCGACAGGAAGCTAGCCGTTATATACGTGAGAATTTGTTTGTTGAAAAAAACAAAGAAAAGAGAAGGCGGAAGTATCGTATCTAAACGACACAAAAGTTCGCAATTTAAAACACGCGCCTGAAACATCAATAACTATTTTGTACATATTTTTATATTTTGACGCTTCTTCTCGTCAATTTTTCGATAAAATAACAGATGATCTTTTTTTTAGAGGTTTTATATTAGAGGTATTAGTAATTTAAAGATGTACGCCACAAGAATAAAGACGCAAAAATATAAATATTATGTCTCAAAATTTGAGGTTTTGGCTCTGAGAATGATACAAATTTAAATATTTATAATACACACGCCATATGAATCAATATCTGTATATATAACAACATAAATATATCTATGTATAAATATAAATATATAATATATAATTTTTTATGATACAAATATACATATATAACAAACTAATATATACATAAAAATAATATAAAATTTATAATTGATATCAAATGGATTTTATAACTGATATCAAATGGTTGTAAAATAATATAAAGTTCTTAATTTATAAAATTAACTTATATGTTTTTTTTTTATCTCTCCTACAATTTTTAATTCGCATAAGTCTGTATCATTCTCAGATTTTTGTTTATATATACATATATAAATATACAGGATGTACATTTATCGGCTTCTAATGACAGATTCTTTGATCAATTTAAAATAAAAACTGCTCATCATTTATTTTAATTATTTCATTTTTTTATTACTTATTTAATTACTTATATATATAATAAAATTATATATATAATAAATTATATACATAATATTATCATGTATATAATAAGATAAATTTTCAAATTAAGCAGTAAGAGGAGGCCAATGAGAGCATATAACACAGTTGATGGCGTGTTGCGAATATTTCAGTGTATTCCTCTATTCAATTGCAAAAATGTTTCAACCATTCGATTTGGTCATTTTCAAATTATAAAATAATTATAAAAAAACCTCTGAGAGAGAGTTGAAAACCTCTAAAAGAACTCAGTTCTCTCTTTTAACTTTGCAAAGATCGTCATCGTGTCAATTCAGTTACGATTATGATATTCTTTCACGACTTTGTCTGAAATACAGTTGACCTTTCTCAAGTTCAATTGGATTTTTTTATATGATTTGTATTAAAAATGTATTTAAAAAATGACCAAATCCAATGGTCGTAACGTATTTACAATTAAATTGAAAAACAATGAACTAAAGTATTCGCAACACCAACTGTATTATATGTTTTCAGTGGCTTTCTCTTACTGCTCAATTTGAAATTTTTTTGGAGCAATTCATAATCATAGATTAAAATAATTGTATTCTTGTCTTTTAATATTATATATTTTTGCCAATGTTTAAATTTCCCATATTAAATCTTCTATTGAATTTTACTGGAAAGTGATTAAAAAATTTAAATTTGGCTACATGATCAAATTGTGATTGTCAGCTTCGAGAAAAATCTTTTAATTATAGTTTTTAGAAAGGTTTTACACGGTTTTGAATGTTCAAAACTCTTTTTCTGTAATTTGTTGAAAAAGAATGGATTCTAAATTGCAAAGAAACGTCATTTAAAAAAATAACGCAAATAATAAGTGCAAACGCCCCGTATATAAAGAATCGTGAAAATCACAATATAGAAAAAAAAGAACCGAGAAAAGATCATGGACATTCGAGACACGGAACAACTACCTGCCGCGAACCGACTGACTTCTAAGCTCTCCATTAGACAGTGGACCCGCCGGCGGAATTAGCCGGGATATAGTAGTTCCTGACGTGCAGGTGATTATGAAGGTGCACGGCCGACAGTTGCTGTTGCTGTTGCTGCTGCTGACCGCCGCTCTGTACACTCTGATGATTCCAGTGAGCGACCGGAGACAAGACTTTGGGTACATCCGGACTGGCCGACGGTGGCGTGCCCGGCGACGGTACAACATTCGCGTCGGCAACCACGTCGACGTCAACATCCTCGTCGTCCTGGTCGGCTTCTGGTAAATCGTGCAATTCGTCCTCGCTGCAACTAAATCTGCGCGACTTGGCTGGCCTCAGCATCTCTGCTTCGATCTGATGCTGCTGATCGTCCGGTGCCAAGAGAGACGCCACGTCGAATTGCCGTTTTCTCGACGGCTGAAAGGACGATTGTCGATGAGATTGCGTTTGGAAAGGATTTTGTTGTTGTTGCTGATGTTGCTGCTGCTGTTGCTGCTGATGATGATGATGGTGCGGTGTCCATAGCGCGGACATCGTTTGCGACGCCACCGGGGGACCGAGAGCCGTCGGGGGTGGTGGAGTAGCGGGTAAGGGTGGCGGACTGGGACTGTCGGGTTCCTCGTCCACCGCCAGGCCCATGTGTCTGCGCACCTTACGCTGGGCCTTGCGCCGGCGGAAATCGCCGCGTCGGAAGTCTTCTAAGTTCGCCGGATGAATGGCCCAATAGTGACCTTTGCCGTTCGCGCTTCTGCCAGACTTGACGAAACAATCGTTTAACGACAGATTATGTCGAATAGAGTTACGCCAACCGGGCCCACGTGTGCGAAAGTAAGGGTAGTGTTCTAGAATATGTTGATAAATATCAGACAACACTAGTTTCTTTTCCGGCGACGACAGAATCGCCATGGCGATTAATCCGATGTAACTGTGTTGCGGTTTCGGTTCCTCCGGTATTCGCTGATGATGTGGATGGAGCAGAGCCATAGATAGGGCCAATCGTCCAGGGTAACCGGCTGCAGCGGCAGCAGCGGCAGCTGGATAAACAGGCATCGGCGCCGGAAAACCTGGACTTATACCTAAATGGGCCGTTGGTGCTCCCGTCGGCGAATGTACCACACCGGGATGTTGCGGATGCAACTGTTGCACCATCCGTAATCGTTCTGTCATTGCATAGTGATAAAGTTGTAGACGATAGTGCTCGAGACTAGGTAGAAAGCTAGCCATTGGATTGCCCAGGCCAACGGCCAATGGCTCCTTTGCCGGCGGTGGGCTCTCGTTGCTGCACATTCTACGTTGATAATCAGCCAATTCTATATTGATCGTCCTGGCTGATACCACTTGTCCTCCTCAAAAAAGAGGTTGCAGTAGTCGCGTCAGCGACGATTTTTCATCTTAGACTACGTGATCACGAATTTATGAAACTGGTAAACCAACATTGGATAACTGAATAGAAGCACTTTATTGCACCACTAATTTCGCCACCGTCGCGGTACGCGCAAAACTCCTAGAACAAGGTCGCAAATTATCGCCCCGGGGGTGGCGACGTCGCGCCGCCGACAAACGCGGTAGCCACTGTTTTCCGACAGTTTTCACCCTGTTTGTCACGATGCGCTCCGGGCGGCCGACTGGTCATGATTTACGATCTTGGCTGTCACGACCGCCTTGCTGACGGCTTTCAGCTCCCACTCCGAGTGCGGCATTCTCACCATGCTCCGCCTACCGTGCGGGGAGTTGTGCGGTATTCAGCGTAGTGGGGGAAGCACCGAGTATTCAAACGCCGTGTACTAGCGAGAACTCTCGTTCAGGATTCGATGCGGGAAGGGGAATTCAAGCGCCGGAGCTCCGGCCAATGAACAAGTGGAGGGTCGGACGAAGATGGCACCCACCACCGGCCGCCACACCTACAACGTTGCGATATTGATCCCGGTCGGTCGTAATCTGGCTATCGGGGGCGGTAGTGGAGACGGTGACGACCCTGATAGTGGTGTGCGGCGGTCGTCGGCGCTCTCTTATCTCTTCGTGGCCTAACATAGCTTGATATCATAGCCGATTCTGGACCGGGGAGTCGAGAGACGATCGATGCGTGTTTCCCGTTTACTGAGCGCGTACTGCACCACGAATTTCGGAAATGGCATCGCTTTCCCGTCTCGCTCTCGTGTTCGGTGCGCTGTGTTGTCGTGGATTTCGACAACAGAAATTTCAAGAATAGATAATCATATGTATAATTCGACAATTGAATTGGATGTATTGATTCCTGAATTTTGCGATTTAAGGTAAAGATTATATGCATAACTTTTTTTTACTTGACATAGAAATATATATAATAGCTTATTATTTTTACGATAATATAATAGCTAGATATATATTATTATTTTTGCGATTCTTCTACGATTTTATGAGGATTTAGATGTATTAATAGAAAAATTTATATATAAACGGTACATATTTATGAGAGAAAAATTGCGTTAAAATCAAAATAATTATAGTTTTAACCATATTACGATCTTCGATATGATAGTTCTGATGATGAAGAGAAAAGCGGATGTTAAATTATCACAGTTAAATCACGGCATTTAGAGAGGCAAGACTAAGTTTTATACTAGTAAAATTTTGTTTGGTAACATGTTTTGGTGATAGTATTTTATGTCAATCTCAACCAAAAAAAAGAACAAATATTAAAATCAACAAATTCTTATTCTCAAGTCTTAGTTCGTTAAAGAAATTAATATCGCGATGCAGCATTTATACACGTTTTCTCGCAGTAGTTCACACATCATCTTTGTAGTCACAATCAACTTACCGGTTTTTCATCCAATTCAATTAGATCTTTTTACAATGAATTTGAAATCAAGGCCTTCGAGCGGAGGCCAATAGAACCGCATCAAAAGACGTTAACACACAGAAGAAGAAACGAAAGGGTGAATCGGAGAATTCTACCCCTCCGTTCTTACATCCCGTGACCCTCTCTCGCTTACCGCTCGTCAGAAAATCCCTTCGGCCCGCGTGGCGCGATTCGCGGACAAAGGCGCGAGGAGCGCATTTGTACGTAGTCGCCGCCCCGCAACTATTTGCAAGCATCCGCCATGCTGGTTTCATATCTGCCGTTTCGGCTTGCACAAAAACACTATTTTCAATCGGGTGAGAGAGAGAGAGAGAGAGAGGAAGGAAGGAGCAAGAGCAAAAGAGGGAGCGAGTGCAACGCAGCAATATGGCGTTTATATACCCTAACCGGAGGTACTGCCGGCTACGATTTTGCCGGCTCGAATTGCAATTGTTGCGACTCGTTGTAAATAACAGCCCGCTGTTTCCTCCCTCTCTCAGAGAGCTCGCAGTCTGTGTGTGTATCTCTTTCTCTTCCCTTCCCTCTCACCAAACTATTCCCCATCACGGGCTATTCACGAGTATCTGCCGCGTGTGCCCGCGAGGCCTCGTTGTTGCAACGGAAATACAACGTTGTCGTTGCATATACGCGGAACGTGCAGAAGCGTGTGTGCACAAACTCTCTATGTTGATAGAGTTACATACCACCCGGTAGATCCCGTACGTGCGACGGCTGCAGATAGTGATATCGCGTTGTCAATCAACTGGAATACCAGCATCGAACACTTGCGGATGTAATGCATGGCTTTTAACTTGGTAAATAATGCTCATTGTTCCATCGTTGGAATTACGATGGAATTTTGTCACTAGCAGTCGTCACGGTTATGCAATATTTTTTAATTTATATCTGTTTTATGTGTGCAATTTTTTTCTAAACTATAACGTTTCTGTTGTGTAAACAAAAAAGATAGTTGCGATAAAGACAATTTTATTACGTACTAGAAAAGCAACAAAAGAGAGGGATGCTTATTTTATTCGAGAAAGGATATTGTCATATTTACACATATGTAAAAACCTTAATATATAAAAACCTTTATTATTGAAAAAAAAAATTCGTACTCCCTCGGATTTACTTGTTTTTACGTAGCCGCGTACATGCGAGTGGATAAATCTGGCGAGGAACATATTGAACGTAAGTACGGCTCTTAGCGTCGCATTTAGCGGAAAATTTGCGCGAATATCGCGTCGTGTAAAAAGATGCAATTTCCCGGGGGTATAATCCACTTAGCGCGCTTTTTCGCGCCACGATGGCGCATTCGGATCTACGTAGCCGGGACATTGCATTATCGGCAACAGTGAAAATCGCGCGTAGATAGGCGCGATAAAACGAACCTCTTTCAAAGGAGAGGATCTCACCCTCCTCGAAATAACCGGGCGAGCGTATTTGCTTGCGCGAAACAGGACCTGCAGCGAACTCGTAACTCTATATCTGGTCCGATCAGATACGATCGTTTGTCGTCTCACGCTGCCAAAAAAGAAAACTCAAAGAGAAGCCAAAAAGGGAGGTAGCCAGATGGAGAAAAAGAGAGAGCAACGGAGAAGGATAGTGAGAGAGGGTGTATAAAGTGCTCTCGAATTCGCGGGGCAAACTCGAGAGCGTCGATAAGATCAATCTCTCGCGCGTGATGGTAAAAGCCGACCGAAGGTGGTTGTGCGAAACCAGAGCTCGCCGCCGCGCTGTCAAAACACAATAAAACGAGCGATCGGGGGAAGAATCGACGGTCGATTTCGAGCGGCGGCCGCAACGACCTCCGGGTCGCGTTTGTATAAATGCGTGCGTGCGTGCGCGCGCGTGCGTATGTGTGTGTGTGTATATGAGTGTGACGCGTAAAGATGCATCTCGATGGTGTACAGATATGTCGGGCCATTGTGCGCGCAGCGTTGCGCGTTAAAACGCGCGCTCTCTCTTTCTCTTTTTTTCTCTCTCTCGCTCTCTTTTTCTCTCTTTCTCTTGTCCTCTTCGTGCCAGAATAATGGCGATAATTGTGACGAAATGGAGCGTTATTGTGGGAAAAAGGTACACCCCAGGACTCGCAATCGAGGGTGTTGCGCGAGTAAGTGGCAGATGCATGGCGCACCGTTGACAGCTTCTCCAATTTCCCTCCGCATCCTCATCCAGGAACATCCTCTTCGAGCTTCTTGTTCTTGCCACATCGTCCTCTCAAAAAACTCAAACTAGTAAACTGTCATTCTTTTCTTATTTTTGTGACAAATCTTTCAAACGTTTAATCACAGTCAAATAACTATTACGTGTTTTATTTAAAAACTTATTATAATGAAAAAAAAAGAAATGCAAAGCAATTACATAAAATGATCTTTACTAGAAACTCATTCAATGTCGACACGTGAGAAATGTCAATACAGCAAAAACGAAATTGTTTTGACAGATCAATTCGTTCTTGCATCGAATCTTAAAGAAGATTAATGCGTTTAAAACAATATGTGAAATAACAAAATAATAAGATGTTAATGTTTATATTTTATTCAGACATAAGATATCTTTGTATCTTTTTGGTTTCGCCTTGTACATTAGAGAGATGGAAACTACGCTCGGAAAATTGGGTAACGCTAATTCGCCGTGTAATCCGGCGCCACGGCGAAAACTCGTGGCAGTTTCCCCGTTAGTTAAAGTTAATAAATGTCGCGGTGTGGAGCGACCGGCAAGTTCGAAGTCCGGAGTTTCGCGTTGGCGCACGAGGTATCCGACGGTTTTGATGCTTCGGAATACACTGCTAATCGGTTTTCAAACTCTCCTCTCTGTGTATATATATATATACTGTGCGTGCTTGCCGATCGAACAAATCAGATATCCAGTCAAAATTTAATTGAATATATAATACGTATAGATAAATACATATATATGTATACATCTCAAACATTTAAATAAATATACAAGTTTAGATTAAAATTTATTGATTACATATTAACTGATTAAATTGTTTATTGTTAAAAATCTTTCTGCACGCATATACCTATGCAAATTTTTTCTGATTATATGAAATACTGTACAAATATTATTCTTAATTAATTAATTAAAAATTCATTAGCCTCTTTTATAGTCGGTACACAAAAGTTTTAGCTTTCTAAGAAAAATGCGTCGAGAAGTGTTTCAATCAATAAGGTAAACTCTACGAGAGAAGAAAAGCATCGACGGACACACTTCGTTTCCGCGTGACAAGAACGCAAACTGTGAAAACTTGAAACTTTAAATAGGATTGGGTACGCGGCGCAACAGGAAAATTAGCGAAACTCGCTTGATGACTCGCAAGGCAAGAGGCTAGAAATAGAAGCGCGCAACGGATGGAAACACAACGGCGATGCAGCTCATCGCGTATGTAGGATTCGCGCGATCGTTAACTATTCCTACGACCGAGCCGTTTAGCAAATAGCGCAAACTTGGCAAACACTTCCGGGGCTGCCAGAGCCATTACGGCAGAGTCGCGCGTATCCATTAAATTCCCCGCCTCCGCGGCGCGGGAGAAAGGGCATTTAACAACGATGCTTTATGCATATTCTAACGAGCTTGCAATCAACTGGTACTAAACACTACCGGAGCTTTCTCGCCGCCCTTCGCGACCCGCTTTTGTAACATGGCCGAGGGAAAGAGTAAAAGACAGACAAGGGCGAGATAGGGGATGAACACGGAGATAGAGGGAGAGAGAGAGAGAGAAGAAAACCCGGAGGTGGTCGTAGGTGCTGGAAAGTG